TCCAGAAAACTGTCATCAAGGAGCGCCCAAAGTCAACGACAACGAGAAGTGGTCTGGAAACAAGAGAAAAAGCTGTGTTTTGTGGTTTTTTTAGGTCTCGACCAGCACGGGCCGGCCATCGTAGCTGGCTCGTCACTCTCCCATCTGGCAGCCTAATTGGTTATTGTGTCGGTCGCAGCTGTCGTTTCCATTCCTGCACTATCATCCAACCAGCTGCTCTCAGCCTTTGCTGACACTGAAGCCTTGCAGCCGTTGCTTTTGCTCTCACCGAACTTCGAAAGAGAGAGAGCTCTTCATTCAGCATAGCGCCATCTACAAAATCTGAAATAACTCTTGACCTAATCCGTTTGCTTGCCTGAGTTTTGGACTTTGAACTCTTCACTTCTCAATCCAACGTTGGCCCTTGTTAGGCAAGAGGTCTGCAGAATTGTAACTTTTTGAAAAAAATTTATATCTTAGAAAATTTGAATTAAACTTCTGCCATCAAAAACCTGGCGCCTGTCTGTTGTCGTTTGTAGCAAATCAGCACCACGGGTTTCTTTAGAGATCGTACTTTTGGAAAAACTTGGTCGGCAAGGATTTCGTTCCGCAGTTTTTTGAAGAGAACAACCTTGTTGCATATGTAAGGTTAGCATGATATTCTGCCATTTGCTTAGTATTTAGGAGGTCTTTAGATACATAGACCACATTGTGGTTGTCAAAAAAGCATTTCGAGGAATCCGTCGGAACGTTTTTACTCAATTTCTGAGTGAGCGTCATTGATTCTTTGTAATAAGTGTCCTCCCGCATCATATTCAAAGCATGGAACGGTGACTCAAAAATGTTAAAGCATGGCTGAAAATGATGACCGTTCGAACTCGGGTGCTGGCTTCTGAACCTCTTTCCAGTGAGTTTTCAACGGAAGATGGGCATAGTCGTGGGCACTTGGAATTGCAAATTTGCAGTCAACTTGGCTGGAGCAAATCTCGTCCGTCTCGGATCCTTAAAGACTGTGAAGTTGCTGATAGAAAATGAGGGGAAGCATAGATAAGGTTAGCGTGGACATAAGGGTTACGGTCATGTTGGATTACGCATATAAAAAAAGACTGCTGGGATTGCTGCTTGCTATTTCAACAACTCTTCTGCTCTTTTTCTCCTCCATTTCCCTCACCATCGGCCATTAACGTTTTTTTCATTCAGTAGGTGAATATACGTGTAAAAAATTTTTAGACCAGAGGCACCTATTTGCTTTATCCCAAGAACACTCTCGAGTAAAACCTGCATGGTCCAATCAGGATTTTTTTTAAACTGATATGGACTTGGGATTGAAGAGATACCCAACTAAGAACTACGCATTCTGGGCGAAAGTCCTGCCAATAACAGCTTACCGTAGCTCGAAACGAGCACGAGTATGGCAAACCTTTTCCCCAGCTTCTCACCTAATTTTCTGTAATGATTAAGTTGCTGTAAGGAAAGAAGCCTCTAAGGGTGGTGGTACTCGTGCTCGTTTCGAGCAACGGTATGCTGTAACCACCCTCACAGCCACTTTTCTCCTCACAGTAGCTTCGTCATTTTTGAAACAATCATTTGCTTTCTCATTCACACCATACTACAGCTTGCGAAAACACCCATTCGNACTGCCCAAAAGTTTGCAGTAGTTGCTGACCTACCCCTCTCTTGTGCTTAGAAAGCTGGCCTGGCAATTGAAACAATCACTTGCTTTCTCATTCACACCATACTACAGCTTGCGAAAACACCCATTCGCTCAGACAGCTGGTATGTTTTCATCAAGCCAAAAAGGGGATTGTTTTCCCATCAGCTTCATGAATGACTTCACCTGTTACAGCAGCTTTCCATGTGTTCCATATCAACGATTGCCACAGTTTCCCTAGATATTATCTGTGTAATGTATCAGGCTGGCGCAAAAGCCTTGCAACACTAGCGATATTTTTTCAGATTTTACTTTTTAATGTTGAACACCTTTTAATGTTCAACATATTCGCCGCTGATTCCTATAACTTGAGCTCAATGCTTCGCAAGCTGCTTAATGTCCTTCTGATTTGGATAACTCTCGAATACAGGATCCAACTCCAAATCCAGGCCCCTCCCCCGCCTCTCCCCACCGCCCCACCTCCTTCCTTTATCAAATGATATCTCAGGATACGTAAGAAATGGTAGTAGACATTACTAGGTTACGGAAATAACTAGGTCAAGGTAGAAACTCCTACCCGCAATCTTTTCCCGAGGGATCTTTCCCTCTACTAGGGCGAGATTACCACGTCCCAACACAGTCCGGCAAGTTTCTGAAGTTGGTTAGCAAGGATAGCAGATGTCACTATAACGCTACTCGATAAGAGCTCGAGTGAAACATATTTGCGTACGGCCACCAACAACTGTTTTCTTCCAGAGCTGCCATCTGCTCTGTAGACAACCGCTTTTTCCTCCTTATATCATTGACATAGGGTATTCAGCCATAACTTTTGGCAAAAAAAATCTCTCCCAGAAGTGTTCTACATTGAAGGAGCAACAATTGAAAGGCAGCTGATTTTGTCAATGTACTGAGTTGACGAGACACCCAATCTACGTAGACTTTTTGGAAGCCGAGATATCAAGGTCTGTTGATTGTCGCATGGGATACCCCAAATTACAGGCACCTTTACCTGCACGGCAGTTTCCGGCCGCGATCGTTTTTAGAGCTTTAGGATCCCGCCGCCTCATAGTCTTAGACGTTCACATCAACAAGACCCCTATCTTCAGATTCGAAGCTTTAAATTAGAAATTACTTAATGTAGAGGATATTGTTACGAAATGCAGCACAGACACCAGCAGTTGCCTTCCTAGTGCTTCAGGAGATACCCTAGGCAAGTAACTAGTCGAAGAACCGAAGTTCAACGTGAACAGTGCTTGTTTTAGTCAGGGGGGGGGGCTTGTTTACATATTTTGTGAGTCATTCGGATGCACTCTACCATACGCACGTGGACAGTCCTCCTTATTTCGCAAGTAGAGAGATAACTTGGAATTACGAAAGTGTCGCAAGACTTATACACCAAGTTACAGAATCAGGAACTTCCTAGTTTCCTTTATTCTTCACAATTACGACTAGATATTCGTGTCTGCAATATAGTTCGACATCACGCTTCAAGCAATTCGGCATTATGCGTAACTCTCTGTAAATCGCCGTACAACGGTATTTCGCAGCATTACGAGTACGATGCTAATAAATTATTTTCAGGAACATTGCCGAAATTCTGGAAATGCTTCGGCATCGGCTGTTCCCCGCCAGCAGTCTTTCAAAAGAGCCAGCAGAAAGCGAACCCCTCGATTTAACTGTTCCTAAAAGCAGGTGGTCACCTTGAAGGTTTTCTCTTCCCGTTCTGTCGGTCTGTTTTGAACACTAGGTTCATATCAAGAGATTTCTGGTAATTTGATGGCTTTCGTTGAAATTGTGTTTATTTCCAGGGCCGACGAACACATACCAGAGCGGATGTACTATAAGACAGCGATGGAAGAAAGTGGCAGTCAAATACTAATGAGGCTTCTGCAACAGCAGTTACTGTTTACGATGTTTTCGCGACCTGAAGTTAAAGTAATTCGAGAGCCGGAACGTCTTGACACAGGCCGGAGAAAAAAGTCAGAATCGACAGAACGAAGAGAGAAAAGCGCCGGAAGTAAACGGAGGTAACTGATTAGTGCTCTTTTTGCAGTCACTTCTAGTTTTCTTAATGCTGGCAGGAGTGAAAAGGTCTCCTGGAGTGGGAATGGTAGTTCAGAGGGAAGGTGTTTGATGTCGCTCAGTATTCGGGTGAACCCTCACCAATTGAAGGGGTTGTTCTCGTGGATGCTTCTTCTCTATGCGTGGATAGCCACAGAGCTCCAAGTTCACGAGTAATATGCCTCCCATTCGGAAATATTCCATGTTTATTCCCAAAATATGAAGTCCTCCAACTTTTTTTGTAAAATCGTAGACACAAAATGAATTGGCACTTCACACCTCATTTCTTGCACCTGTTCCTTGTATAAAAATCACTTTAGCCACATCTTTTTTGATTTGTTCCCGTGAACTTCTGTCCGGCCTGCAAATTGGGCAGATAAATTGGCTATTTCCATCGGCAAAAGGGGAAAAAAGAATGATTCTTAGTCATTTATCGTGTGACTCTACACAAAGGATAGATTTCAGCCTCACTGAACTCTTTCAGATCTGAAGCAAACGCTCGAGAACGAAATCGTGTACAGCACCTCGGCGATATGTTCGATCGGTTGAAGTCTGTTTTACCTATCGAGTTAGATGTAAAGATCTCCAAACTTGCAACTCTAAAGGTGTGTTATTTTCCATGTTCTCTGTCGCAGGGTATATCGAAATCAGAGGAAACAATGAAAGGACTGTATTTTTGAAAATAAGGGGCGATACTATATAGAAATGAACCAGTTCCGGGTTCTGTGACATACCTTTGGGTGTATTCGGTTGAAATGAGCTTGAAGAGAAACCCTATCTCAGATTTCACCAACGTTTCACTTCCTTCTCTCCCCCTTCTTAGCCTACATTCTATGTTTTCATCTTTAGACTCTTTGAACACATCCAATAAAAAAGTCTTCCATGCTGCATGCCTTAACTAGTAGTCCCACATCGCTCTAACAAGTGAGAAGACCTCATTATCTCCACGATGAATTCCGTGGACTCATAAGCCTTCAGACTAACAAAAGTAGGTTGTCGTCTTGGATTGTCTTATTGCCATGAATTCTACCTTAAAAGGATCAGACCACAGTTTGCGGATGACCTATAATCTCAGCATAGTGCATAGAAAGCACAAAATTTTGATGCGATGCTGGTCAAACCCCTTTTCTGGGATGCGCCCTGCTTTTGATTACAATTCAAAATCATGGTGGCGCTTTTGAAAACCTATATGGTCTATAGGCCAACCGATATACAAGTCAGGAATTATATCCCCAGCTGTCCTGCCCTAATCCCGATAGAAAGTCCCCTTGGGATGGAGCGCTTAGTTGGCATGGGCGAGTATCGATCCGGGATTCGATCTCACCATCAGTGCCAGGCATGTGTGTTGCACTTACCACCACACTACCTCCGCTCCTATCGTTTACGAAATCCCCAGCTTACCGTAGATAAAACGTGCGCAAGAGGACTGTTCAGCTGTTTAATAGAAATTTTTTATTCATATGTTTATTGACATCATATTACAGATTGCATCCGCTTATATACGTTACTTGGGATGTATATTGGATGCTGAGAACATCTGTCGTCTTGTGGAAAGCGAACATTCATTGATGTTGTGCATTTGTGAAGCACGAAGTTGTCCAAAGAAATTGTGATCATGATAGTTAATTTGTTTCTCTGATCAGATCTTTTCTAGCTGAATTCTTTACTGTGATCTCAATAGCGGAATTCTACCTCTACTTCATCTGTCGTTGCTTGTTCTATGATCCTTCGTGTTTTTACCGAAATTATAATCATAGACTTTATGTTGCTACTAAAAAAAACGGCGGGCTAGTGATGTTTGTTGTTTTGTGTAGGTTGACATGAAGAAAATTGAAATGGGTTGACAACTAGTTGAGAAGAGTTGTGGTAGGTGAGGTCCTTACAGGGCAACGGACCCATGGTCTGGCACCAGTGGAATCTTAACACTTCATTTGGTGATGTGGGTACAAACGGAACGTTAGTGATTGATACCAAGAGTCGACAACAATTAATACCAGCTGATAAGGGTCCCTAAAAGGCAAAATTTATTGAGTCGGCTACGCCCTCCCTAACAACATGCAGCCTTGGCGCTTTGGATGTGGGAAAGTGGGATGTGACGGGACGTGGATGCTCACGGACAAGGACACAAGACGGATTTCATCGTCCTGTGAGTGTGTGACACAGTAATCCAAACACACGGTGAAGCGCCTCCAAAACACCCGTCACATATACGACGCAAAGGAAAGTACCCCGGGTGAAGCCGGTACCAAGAGTTACGGTGTCACACATTCACGGGACGTTAAAATCCCTCTAATGACAGGGACTGACGGCCTAGTTAGGCGTAATGGGGCATCAGAGATTGTCTCCATTTTATACAACATCCAGATGGGGCTGTACAGACACTGTCTTGCAGCGGCTGCTTTATTCGCCATGGAGCACATGTGTTGAACAATCTAACAGCTGATCGGAGAGATTAACAATTCGTGACATAATGAAAGAATAATAACAATGAAAACAAACGAATAAAATAATCGCAACAGTAATAGATAACAAAGACGGGACGTTCCAGTAGTACAAAATTCTGTCTGCGCGATAAATGGGTAGCAATTTTTGCCATTTTTGGCTTACTGTAGCCAATATTTTGCACAAATGCATTGCGACCGCACATCACTGAAATTTTTACGAAATCTCTCCCCATACTGGTTCCGTCGTTACCCGGTCAACCCCCTTCTTTAGCTAGTTTCCAGAACACTTACTTGAAAATACATTAAGTTCGGTGCTTTCTCCGCCATTGATGCGCTACTCTGCAGCAATAGTTCCGTGATCTGAGCTCGGGACGGAACATTCACCCCATTTCTGGATAGCGCGGCAAATTGTGCAGCGGAACTCGTGTTTACTCAAACGACTCTGGCGCCTGTCTTTGGAGCACAAATTTGAAGTAGGGTAGGTAGGTGACATCAGCTGGCCCTACTCATCCAATCTACTTAAAACCTGTGCTCTAATGATAGGCCCAAAGTCGTTTAAATCACCACGAATGAATTTTGCCGCTCGGTTTGCGACGTCCATCTAGAATTCGATGAATGTATCCATATCCGTATTAGCTCGAAAAAAGTGGAGACGGGGATGGAATTGGATCTGTGTAATCGATTTGCCGCGCGCGGCAGTAGCGGACGAGTTGCATCGTTGTTGCAATTCTAGCATTCTTCATACAGCTCGATCGATATGAAATTATTATTTTTCTCTCACTGACACTTCTTTTGTTCCTGTATTTCTTACTTGCTGTTTCCTCATCAATCTGCTACATTCCTTCGTGCGAGACGTCGCTCTCGCCGCAATTATAAGTTGCCTACTGATGCCGAGAAGCTTAAGTAGACTTTCTTTTGTCGCTCTTTTTTCGATAAATTGCAAGCTTGTGCTGTATTGTCAGAGAATGAATTCCTGTGAATTTCTAAGACAAGGGAATCACGACCTTTTATTCAACCAATGCTCGCACAAATTTAATACTATTAGATGAATATCGGTTCCTTAGTATTATGTGGATAACGAACGCCTGAAAGTAAGTCATACTGTGGATGTAAATTAGATTCACAGAAATGAAGTCGACAAAACAAGAATGGAGTACTCACAATCTTGAAAACAACTACTCTTGGTCAAATCCCTTGCTGTTCTATTCACTGGCTACCTGTAAGTAAACCATGGAGATTGTAAGTAAACCATTTATTTCGCTTTTGATGATGAATGTGGGGGTAAGGATCTCAGCATCCCTTCTCTAATATGTTTGGCTATCTTCGCGTAGTTTTAACTTGATTCAGTTCCACCACGGTCACCCGTAACATTAGACAATTTCCTGGATTTATGGGATCGCAACTTAAGGCAATTTCTGGCTCACTTATCCATGCAGGAGGCATTACCTTCATGACAACTGAATTCTAGAATACTCAAATCAAAAGACAACTTACCACGTGTTGCTCACTCATTGAAAGCTTTTCCTCTTGTTCTTCTTGCTTTTCTGGCGGCTCATGAGTGGTCACGGTAACTATTCGTTTCTCCAGTGTCACCACTTCGACCTGAGTGGTTACGTACGCTAAAGGATTCGTTGTTTGCTGCAAGAAGGCTTCCACTGCTTTGTTGGCACTTTCTTCGGTCGTGAAGGTTGTAGTCACTGAAGTTCCTTCTGCTGGTTCAGTAGGTGTTTCAACCAGCACACCTGGCCTAGCCTCAGTGGGAGGGTTCACGTGACTCTCATCACGAGCCTCGAACGGCACTACAGCTCCTTTTGGCGGTAAGTGCGGAACATTCCCTGCATCCAAAAAAGATCTATAATTGAGAAAGTCTTCCTGTGCAATCGGATTACTGGGGAATGGAGTAGAGGAAAGAAGCTCTCTATGTTCCGGCATAGGTGCGCCTAGCGTGACATTCTGCTGTGAAGGAGACGAAACTCTTGCCTGAGCAGTAGGTGTCTCGCCTGCCTGTGG